TACTACTACTACTACTACTACTACTACTACTACTACACGACAACTACAACTACAACTAGGACTACAACTACAACAACTACAGCTACAATTGCAACAACTATAACAACAACAACAACAACAACAACAACAACAACAATTATTACAACGACAACAACAACAACTACAACTACAACTACAACTAGAACTAGAACTACAACTACGGCGACACCGCGAAGGAGACGCGTCAGAGGGATGTGCTAGATTTCGTCATGTGTTTGTAGTCTGCTGTGTTAACACTGTAGGAGCTGTTGAAGTTTCAATTTCGGAATATGAGGATCGTATCAGTACACGGTAGATGGATGGATTCGGATGGATGGATGGGTGGATGGATGGATGGATGGATAGATAGATAGATAGATAGACAGGCAGGCACGCAGATAGACACCACTGCACTACATTACACTACCTTCCATTACACTTCACTACATTACACTACACTACACTCCACTACACTACAATTACAACTGCAACTGCGCAACTACACTCCACTACACTACACTACACTGCACTCAATTACACTCAATTACACTACATTACATTACATTACACTACACTCCACTACACTCCACTACGCTCCACTACACTACATCCCACTACACTACACTACACTACAACTACCCAACTACATTCCACCACACTCCACTGCACTAAATTACACTACACTACAGTGCATGACACTACACTACACTCCACTACACTACATTACACTACACTAGTACACTACACTACCTTCCACTGCACTTCACTACATTACACTACACTACACTCAACTACACTGACTACAACTACAACTACAACTACACTCCACTAAACTCCACTACACTAATTTACACTACGCTAAATTACACTACACTACACTACACTACATTACACTGCACTACATTACATTCCACTACACTCCACTACACTACACTACAGTACACTACACTGCATTAGACTGGATGACACTGCACCATAGATAGACAGGTAGACAGATAGACAGATAGACAAATGAAAGAGAGAGAAAGAGAGATAGATAGAAAGATCGATAGCTGGATAGATACATAGAAAATAGATAGGTAGGTAGGTAGATAGGCAGAGAAAGAGAGAGAAAGAGTGAGAGAGATCAAGCACCTTTCGGTCCATCAGTGGATTCGCTCTGCCATCCCTGATTCACAACAACCAACCTCTCCTATAGGTTTCCTATTTTTGAAACTTCCGCCACCGCCTTGTGCGGAACTACTGGTAATCCTGTTAAGTATAGATAAAACTACCATAAGTCCTACTTGGTCCTACTTATTAGAGTTATTTGCACCAACTTGGCTATCTTGGGGGCACCACCTTGCATGGGTGTACAAGAACCCAACAGCTATACCCTCTGGTAAACATTCACAGTTTGCGACATTGAAAATGGCCCAGTCGAAAGTTCGTTGATTTACCCACTCAAAATGGTGATTGTCCATCGTTTTTTGTATGTTTACCAGGCCGGGTAACCATGTTCATAGGAAATACCATGAACCCGATGTTTTCAGACTGTGACTGACGACTGCGAAATCCACCAGTTGGTAGATGGTAAACATCCCAGAGAATCCCATAGAATTTACAGTGGTCCACATAGTTACCTCATAGTTGGACATTTACCTTATATGACATCCACGAAATATCAGGTATCTCATATGTAAACTTGATCTATTTGTCTATACTTGTTTGAATATATATATATGTATACATATATATATATATATATGTATACCATAGATATTATATGTAAAAAAGAAACATATCTGGATAAATGAACCACATATCTTTTACAGTATATACACCATCTCTGGATATATGTTTATTACCCTCTGGTTATTTAACAGTTCGCCGTGGAAGCCATGGCCCATAGAAATAGATGCTTTACCTAGTAAAAATTGGTGGATCTTTCCATGGCTATGTTGGTCATAACCAGATGGTATATTCATTAAAATCACATTGTTATCCCCTTATCATTTTCATAGATATTATCATCCAATATTCTCCCGATATTCTCCCGACATAGCCGTGGTATAGATGGCCCATAGAAATAGATGGTTTACCTAGTAACCTCGTAAAAATGTGTAACAATGGGTGGATCTTTCCATGGCTATGTTGGTCATAACCAGATAGTACCCTCTGGTAATTTAACATAGCTATGGAAAATCACCATGTTCAATGGGTAAATCCACTATTTCGACTGGGCCATTTTCAATAGCTATGTTAGTCATGACCAGATAGTAACATATCATAGATGGTCCATAGAAATAGATGCTTTACCTAGTAATGGCGAACTGTTGGTCATAACCAGATAGTAACATACCCTCTGGTAATTTAACATAGCTATTGAAAATGGCCATTTAGAGTGGATTTTCCCATTAAAAATGGTGATTATCCATAGTTATGTTAGTTTACCAGAGGGTATCTAATATACACCTGGAAACTCCACTGGAAACTCTCCATCTACACGATCCATGGCACCTTGAGGAATCGCGTCAAAGTCGTTTCCGCCAAGACCTGCGCTTTTTTGACCCGGAAGACCGTCGCGGATGGTCACAGGTCTGTGGGGTCTATGAGGTATACAAAAATGATATGTATATGATAAATAGATGTAAGATACAGTATCATATCATAGATATATTATAGATATGATAACGTTTATGAAAATATATATATGATAACACATGATAATCGATGATAATTATATAACATGATATGATAATTATGGGGTGCATATATATATATATACATATATTATATATATACATATTATATATATATACATATATTATATATATACATATATTATATATATACATATATTATATATATACATATATTATATATATATACATATATTATATATATACATATATTATATATATACATATATTATATATATATACGATTATACAAAGTGCCCGCCAGGTGGCGTACAAATATGGAAAACAGCTTTGATTTCCCAGCTTATGCAGACTTGAGCAAGAAACAATTGAGGACTTAAATACTGGTTGGTGGTTGAAAAACCATCTTGAATCATATGAATCAATGGTTTTCAGGATTATCTGAAAATTGATGGACATCATCGCAGAGCTCGGCAGTTCTGGTGAAGTCTGGGTGAATGTGTCATGTCATATCTGGATGTGGGTCAAAATGGAAGACCTAGGGGACCACAGATGTTAGTCTAGTTTAGTATTAACCATCCAATTATTGGGGTACCTAATTTTGACCCATACCCATCTATGGCTGTTTGGAAAAAAAACCCTCTGAGATTGGACGCAGGAAGTACGAAGTACATCGAAGTAGCTAGTAATTCTTGAAAGTAGCTGGGCTCGGAATTTGTTGACCAAGCCTCACCTTGGCTCCTTAGCTACTCCTTGGCTATGGCCCCCTCTTTCTGTAGAACCGCCATTTTGGAGGTGAAAACACCAAGGTACACGAGGCTGTGATATTCATCCATGGGTTCCATATCGCCATTGAGCCCTACAGTGGTAGATTATCCTATGAAAATAAGGTGGTTCTGGTTACGATTATCCCATGAAAATCATTGGTAGATTATCCCATGAAAATCATTGGTAGATTTTCCCATGAAAATGATCTACATGGGTAGATCATTAACCTGGTTAGCCCATCCTAAGTCTTCACTGGTTACGATGATCCCCATGAAAATCAGTGGCATAGATAGGAGGGGAATTGGTATACAAAAAACCATCAGAAATTAAGGAACATTTATGGATCTAACCAACGATTTATGTGAAGATTTTCACCCAACACTTGGATTTATATGTGATTTATACTAATTAGCCATAAGTTGCTTTAGTAATCTAGGTTTAATTACCATCTGATTATTTAACATAGCCATGGAAAATCCCCATTTTTAATAGGTAAAACATCTATAAACTGGCAATTTTCCATGGCTATGTTAAATAACCAGAGGGTAATCTACTATAGTTGGGTGAACATCATCCTCGCCAAACAATAGCTGTGGGACATGATCAAACTCTATGGGCTGTCCTTTTGGGACAATGAGTGATGTGAACGTTGGTTAACAAAAGCCCCAGTAATTATAGGACATTATAGGACTATAAGTACCATAAACCATATAGTTCTTGGAGTTATAAACCCACCAACTTAGATATCGAACGGGGGCCTCACATTGTGGTAATGACTACCTTTTTGCGCACAGCTACTGCGAAGTCCTTTTGCGTTGTCTCGATGGGCCAATTTCTTGACTTTGGAGCATACAGCAGGTGATTTGTGTTGTATGTTTCTTGGATCATGCCTTTCCATTCCGACAGTACAGCAATACTTACTTGTGCTTAGTAGGGGATGAGGGAATGATCCACAATAACTATCAACAAAAATCCCATTCCCCCATTCCCATCCATTCCCTACTAAGCACCAGTAAGAATATGAAAGATGGAAAAGTTAACAAAACATTGGACTACAACCAATGATTGTGCAAAGGTTAGTATATCAGGGGCACAAAAACGCAGAAGAGCAATCTGATGGTGCTACCCTCTCGTAAAGTAGCATAGCCATGGAAAATTACATGTTTAATTAATAGGTAAATCATCGTTTTCTATGGTCCATTTTCCACAGCAAATTGTTAAATTTCCAGAGGGTACTTCCTTTGCATGCTATGACTAGAAAACAACAAGTAAGCAACGTGATTTTTGGACATCACTAGACCCTCGCAAGTCTGATGCTCTCTGCGTCCCAATGCCGGAGGAGGGTGTGTTTCAACATCCCCCAACTGCGAACAGAACAACATTTGGGGGGTTCCATAGTCATGGGGGTACCCCAATAGCTGGATGGTTTATAAATAATGGAAAATTCTATTAACAAATGGATGGTTTGGGGGTATTTTCGTTTCAAACCTCCATTTCATGATTTCATCTGAGGGCTCTCCAACTTGCATTGAAACAAACAAAACAGGAATCATCGGTCATGTCATGTGACCTAGCATTCCTCCCTACTTACTTAGCTCCGATCGGAATTTGGCCCTGAAAAATGTCTCCAGAAGTTCTGCTTCCTATCGAAAGAAGTCGTTCCTGAAGGACTCAAGATTGACATCAAAAATCAGGGGTCCGCAGGGTCCGCCATCAGTTCGAGTGCTTCCATAACCCAGCCTTAGGTCGAGCCAACGAATGAAGAAAGTCATGATTAAATCCCATAAATTCTGTAGAAAACCCATTATATCACCATTAAATCCCATATTCAATCACTATAAGAAGTTCCATATCCCATTAACCATGGCAATGATAATTCCTCCCTGCTCTCCTTGTGATTTCTGACATGGCCAGGTGGGCAGGAGTCGAGATCGCTTCAACATTTTATCCAACAAGTCAACAGGGGATGTACAAACCATGACCCAGTAGAAAAGGGGTCTCTCTCTCTCTCTCTCTCTATCAGCTCTATATATATATACATATATCTCGTGTATATATATATATACATTATATACAGTATATATATATCGTATATCTGTAAACACCCAAAGCTATTCCAGTTCCAGTTTTCCAATGGCGCGATCCTTTTAAAACTATCCGAATCTGAAGCGAAAAAGCGGGATTTTTTGCTATCCATGGCCATACCCATCCGATATTGCTTGATATGCCAAACGGTTTGCTGCTGGTTTCCGTAAATCGCTGGAAACCAAAAACGAATCTTGAGGCTTTGTGAAGAAACAGGTTACCCCGAAATCCACCGGATCATCATCATCATCATCATCATCATCATCTATTATCATCATCATCAAAAAAATCGCAGTTCTCTTTTCCCCCCCGCCGTGGGGATCACCCTAATTGTGTCCAAAAATGGTGGATTTGGGTGGATTTTCACGGTGAATCCACCATCGATTTCTGCTTTGGCTGCTGCGGCACTGAGGCGGCACCCAAAAGCGTCTCGTCTCACCCGCTTTCATCAACTTTAAGCCTGGGCATTACATGATAGGTAGTTATGACCAACATAGCCATGGAAAGATCCACCAATTTTTAAGAACGGTAAACCCAGATAAACCATCTATTTCGATTGGGGCCATCTATACCATGGCGAACTGTTAAATAACCAGAGGGTACATGATATCGATCATGGACAATGCAGGTGAGGTCTCATGGAATTTTTATCGTACCTCTGGCGACCAGGAATTCCCATGGATTCGGAGTGGTCGGAATGTGGCCCGGCCTGGCCCTTTTTAAAAAGTGGGCACCCAAATTACGATGATCAACGAGATGGGATTTGGGGGTACCCTAAGTTATTCATAGTTATTCTATTGAGATATGTCACTCACACCTAAAACAGAAGTTTCAACCAGAAAAAAAACATGTATATGTGTTGCTTAAGCTGACCAGCAGCCCACCTTTCACCCTGTCAAGCCTGATGAAATCAGTCCCATTTTGCAGCCCATCTGCAGGCAAAAATTATATGATGTGGATCGAATTCTAGATGCAACCAGCTTCAATCACACCTATCCGCCTTAGGTAGACATCAAAAGACATATGTCCAACAATAAAACTGTATGTATATCTATATATAGTGATCGAACTCCACCATGATTTCCTACCAGTTGCAATATGTTCTGGTATAATGGGTTTTTTTGTTGTTTCTTTCGTTTTCATTTCGTCATAATTTAGTCAGACTTTTCGTCGGGTGCTTTGTGGCAAAACGTTTTGCCACAAGATCTTGCCACAAATTCTTTCGTCAGAATTTCGTTAGGATTTCGTCAGAACTTGAATTGAAGCAACGAAATCTTTGACAAAATTTCAACGATTTTTTTTTGTGGCAAAATGTTGTGGCAAAACGTTTTGCCACAAGGCAAAATCTCGTTCCCTCTCGCGTTTTGACGAAATTTTCCTTGTGGCAAAACGTTTTGCCACAACATTTTGCCACAAAAAAAATCGTCGAAATTTCGTCCAAAACTTCGTTGAAATTTCGTCAAACTTGAGTTGAAGCAACGCAATTTTTGACGAAATTTCAACGAAATTTTCACGATCATTTTTTGTGGCAAAAGGTGTGGCAAAATGGATTGCCACAAGGATTGCCACGAAATCTTCAACGAAAGCTTTAACAAACTGTCAACGACCGACTGACGTTATACCATTCCTATTGCAAATCATGAGCAGCACCAACACAACTGCATCCTCGAATTCTCCCCCTGGGCCCCCCAGCAAATATCCTATGAAATCCCTTCAAGACCCACTATTTATTTATTTATTTATCTATCTATCTATCTATCTAAAAAGATATCTATTATATATCATATTATACACACATATATCATTATATTATATATCCATCATTAATATCCCATCCCAGCCGCATCCCGCCTTCCCAAAATCCTTTGGGCACGTTCTGCTGTTGCACTTCCACCTGAGGCTCACCCCGGTTGATGGACGAGTCAAAGAGCTGCCCGTCGGCCGTCCAGCCGTACCATTCCACCTGGGCATGATTTCATGGGAGCTTGGGAGGGTGATTTCATGGTGATTTCAATGATGATATTCAATGGTGATGAAAAATATGACATCATAAAATTACTGAAAATGACATAAAATATGACCACTCGTTTTTTTTTCTCGAATTTAAGCCACTTCAGAAATAGTGTTTTTTTCCTGGATTTCAGGTCCCTAAGAATTGAAGATTTTTCACCATTTGCCATGCCCAAATTGGTCACCAAAACTGTCCCCCAAATCTGGTCTATGACATTCAGCATGGTAGACCTGAGAAAAACAGAAAAACGTACTGTAATTGAAAATCCTTAGTATTATGTTTCAATCGGTTTGGACTGGGAAAATCATTTATTAGTGGATGTTTTTTAATTGCCATGTTTGATAACCTGGGGGTTACGACTGTTTTTAGTAAGGTTATGCTTTTCTTTTTTCTGGGGGGTGCTGTATGGTGCTGTATTGGTAGTCCAATAGTAGATTTACCAATGACATGTGGTCATTTTGCAACTCCAATAACAAACATATGGTAAATCCATCGAATTCCACTTCATAAACTATACCATGTCTGCAGTGTCACTACATTGCGGGTGAGTAAAAAATTTACGAACGCATCCAACTGGTTTTGGTAGCGCCTTTTTTCTCAAACCAAGCCACAGAGTCGTTTGCCCGGGATTTCAGGATGTTTCAAGATCATATTCCCAGGAAAACAATGGAAAACAAGGAAACTAAACCCAGGAAGACCTCTTCCCCCAAAGAAAATAAAGAAAAGCTTAGCTTGATTCGATTCGACGCTGTTCCCAAAAAACTACAATAATTGTATACCGCATTGGCCGGCCCAATTTTATAAGCTCCAAGATGCCCATAAATTCTTGTGTTTCAAAGAATCCCCAGTCATGGTTTTGCGTGCTTGCGGCACTTTTTGTAACCGTGGATTTTCAACTGCCATGTGGCGAAAAACTACCAGATGCGGGATTTATCCCATATATAATCCCTAGAAAATCATATGAAACCGTGCAATAACCACAGCAAAAACCATCATGATCTCTATGAATATGTATATATATATATATAAATCCGATAGATTTCTCCATTCATATTAACCATCAAACCATATATTATCTGGGTAAATCACAATATTTCACAAAGCTGAAATTAGGGGATGTTTCCCAGTTTCCCCATCTATAAACCTTGATTCCAGGCTTCGGAACAACGACGGCTTGGTCACGTCATAATTTGCTCAGACTATTCATCCAGTGTTGTTGGTCGAATCCAGCATTAACCACTATTAACAACTATTAACAACTCTGGTAATAGCTGACAGTTTGCGAACTGGAAAATGGCCCAGTCGAAATAGTTGATTTATGTTGATTTACCCATTAAAAATGGTGATGTTCCATGTTTTTTTGTTTGTTTATATGACTTGACATGACTTGACAACAATCTGGTTGGTGGTTGAAAAACCATCTTGAAAAATATGAGTTCGTCCAATGGTTTTTCAGGATTATCCGAAATATATGAAATGGAATATCATCCAAATCTTTGAAACCAACCAGATTATCATCTATCTATATATCTAACTATCATTCCGTTATTGATTATATCTTCGCATTATTTCCCATAATATATTGTTGCATTTACTCTCCAGTAAATTAACATAGACCCTGCCAGATAGGGGTTGGAAGATTAATTTCCATTACAAATTGGTGATTCTCAGGGTCCAACTGTTAATTTACCAGGCCGGGTATCTCCCGATGGTTTTTTTCATCCCCAGTCAGGCCGCAACAGCTCGGTTCGCTTCCTTCGCCGTGTCCGTTCCATTGCCTTCGCGGATCACTTTGCTTGCGAGGCCGGACCTGGGTGGCGAGCGCCAGGTGGCTTGCCATGGAGCTCTGCGAACGGAAATGTCTGAAATAAATATGGAACTTTTGGTGGCGAACATCCACTTGATTTTGATGTTTGTTTACTGGTTTTTACTGGTTTTTAATGGCTTTAAACTTTAAAGTAACTAAGAAAAACCATAAACCAGCCAACCATCAGAGCCACTAATTGCATCCCATGTTTTGTGCTTAACAAGCCACACTTGATGCTAACCAGTCAAGGGTTGACTGGTCACTACAAACATTTTCCGCATATCAGAGTTGTGGACAAAGCATGGGTGAAGGTGAGACTGTGCTCATATCACCATTTTCATTGGTAAACACCCCAGGCTACCCCATGTTTGGTCTGATTTGATGTTAAAAAATGTGGATTTTGGTCACCACTCACTTGATTCCCGAAACGTTTGTTGGTTTATCATCAACCCCATAAAAATACTATAGTCCATAGCTTTTAGTATCATAAACCACAGTTGTCGGAGTTATTAGCACCAGTCTCCGTTAAAGAACCTATCAACCATATCAACAATCATTTCTTCACTTATATTTATACTGTCTTATATCTCCATATTCTTCAGCGTTAACATATATATATACACCCTCTGGTAAACTAACATAGCTCTGGAAAATGGTTCATTTATCGATGAGAATCACCGATTCCCATGATGATTTTCGATAGAAATTTGTGAGTTTCAAGTAGGTTAGCTCCCTGTTAACCAGGTGAACCGGCCAATCTAATAGAGTTCACTGGTGATTAACTAATGTCAACCATTAATAAACCCCTAGCCCGCTGTTGAAGTGGGGAGGTACCATTTGAGTATTGGATTACCACTATCAGACTATTTGGGGAGTAGCCTGTCATAAGCCATGGTTTATTAATCCAGGGATGACATTACCTTCTGGTAAACATACAAAAAACCATGGAAAATCACCATTTTGAATAGGTAAATCATCTATAAACTGCTAATTTTCAATAGCTATGTCACAAACTACCAGGCCGGGTACACTTCGAAAAACCCATGGAAAATTGGTATGTGGTCAACCCTGCCAGGAACAGCTGGCTGTGAATAGGGCTATTTTTCGATCGGCGGGCCACTCCGTCACTTCCGCATCCGCCGGCGCTGTGAGCTCCTCTGGCGTGGGGGGCGGTGCTTGGCCGCGCTTCAAGCCGAACAAGGTCACGTCCAAAACGATATCGCCTCGGCTTGGCCATTGGGAGGTATAGTTTCATGTGGTTATATGATCTTTAGTCACGTATATGTATATATATATATATATGTGATTTCTCATATTATATTTGGTGATATATGGTGATATATGGTTTATAGATGGTTGTATATGATCCAGCAATGGTTATGGGTCTACAGGTCCTGGGGTATATAAAGGTATATAGAGTAAGGGGTGTATAGGGTAGAGCTTCAAGTTCATAGTCTCCAGCAACAACAATGTAAACTGAAATTTGTTGAGCCCATCCAAAACAATCCAAGGAATAGTAAACAAAACTAGCCTAAACGCAACATTCCTTGCCCCAATTTGCACATCACAAATCCACCAAACACCATGGTACTATCAAGTCATCGGAAGTTGGTGATCAAAAAGAGCAACTTATTTTGAGGTCAGAGTTCGCTTGCGTTTTAGGGTCGAGGCACGACTTTTACGTTGACCGTTTCCCAAGCTCATTCTGGTGATTCCCAAAAACGAGGCACGACTTTATCAGTTGTCTGTAAGGGTCTTCCCCCGGAGTGGGGATGGGGTGGCTTTTGATGATCATCTATGAGCTATAAAGATATTTGTATATAATATATATATAGAGAGAGAGAGAGTACATATAGAGTATATATACATATGCACTATAATATATATACTATATATATATATGCACTATAATATATATATACTATATATATATACTATATATATATATTCTATATATATATATATATTCTATATATGTACATATCTATAGAGTGTACAGTGGTGATCCCCTCCCGTGTCCCATGCGCCTGGGGGGCCACCTTTGCCCTCAGAACCAAAGCCCAAATCGCCTGGCGATGACCATACGGTTTTTGTGTTTTTAATTGGGGAAGCTCATCCTTTTTAAAAGCAATCTAATGTATGAATGTATGTATGTATGTATGTATGTATGTATATATATATATATATATGAATGTATGCACTTGATTATAAGGGGATATGGATATATATATATATATATACATAATTATATGTAATTACTTGATTATAATAAGGGGATGTATATATATATATATACAAGTGACTATGATGGGGTATATATATAGAGAGAGAGAGAGGGAATGTAATGGTGATATATGGCCATTAGTCAAAAACCTGGTGCCCGAGGTACCCCAAAATAGCTGGTTTATGGATGTTTATTCTCCCATTCATATGGTAATAATAAGTTTGACCCATCCCATATTAGGAATAGCATCCTCAAACCAATCCAATATCATGGTATATATATAATATACATATATATATATATAATAGAATTGTACATATATATATATTTATAAGAATAAGTATATATATATTACATATAAATATTGGCGATATATTTCAATATCCATGTCAAGGTTGGTGCCAAGAGTGTCCTTTTCGGACAAATAAGGGCCGCGGCTTGGTATCTTATGGAACTTATGGATCAAGATATAGATGAGCAAATCATTATACGACAGGGTATGATAGGGTACTATGTAAGACTACAAGATGTCAAAAGTAATCAGGTAATTGATAAAACGTGATTAATAAGATGTCATACCCTGATATGATTACTGCAATATAATATCCCTGTTTATTAGCCACCTGATAAAACGGGATATCAAAGAGCCAGACATGGAGAGGGCATCCCAGACATCTGTGTCCCTTTCATCTGTGTGTCCGTTATGGCATGTAGATGATAAATTACAATACATAATATATCATAATATATTTTTAAAAAAATAGTATTATATTATATAGTATTAAAATATCCATATATTATCATATACATACATAATGTATATATATATGCATACATGACAGCGTACCTCAGCCAGTTTCGCCGAAAACGTCGCCTGGAATCCAGAGTCTGATGGTCTCGCCCACCTCCATGGGATGCAGGGGCGGTGGCAGGGCCATGGATTGATGTCATGCTGTGGAACAGTAACCATCTAATGACTGGGTCTTACCAAACCAATCCCTGAAACAACCATTGGTTACAGTAACCAACCACTGAATTGATGTAAATGATTGGGCCGTGGATAACTATTGGTAATTTAAGATTGGTAATAACAGGTGATAATTATTACTATTGGTAATTAACCATGGAAATAGTTCTCAACTAATGGCTATATTACTATTACTATTGTGGGACAGTTGATAACTATTGGCTGGTTGGTGGTTGAGCCCAACCCCTCTGACAAATGATGGAGTTAGTCAGTTGGGATGATGAAATTCCCAATATGATGGAAAAATGAAAAATGTTCCAAACCACCAAACAGTATGTGTATATATATATAAAGGGATAAGCCATCTACCAACCTTTGTGAAGGATTTTGCAACCATCCATAGTACGTAAACTGCTTCAGTGGCAAGGAACTGTTCCCTTGTAACTGGGCTGATTTGATAAAACTATAAACATTGGGTGATCGGGCTTTTATCAAAAGATGTTTCAGCTTGTTTAAACTGGAATACACATCCATGTGTAGCAAGAAACAGACAATCACTGATCAAACTTGTCTGGTTGGTGGTTTCAACCCCTCTGAAAAATATGAGTTCGTCAGTTGGGATGATTATTCCCAACTGAATGGAAAGTCATAAAATTCATGTTCCAAACCACCAACCAGTTGTTCAACCAAGGTTTACCCAACAATTTACCGCGTCGAAAATCCCAACCGGTTTTTGCAGGTGAATCGACCAACCCAACTCGCAACGACACCGTTGACAGCCACCGTAGAGAAGAAACTCAGTTGATGCACATCACTTAGGAAATATGAGGAATATATATATAGTTACTCATATTTCATGATACGTCAAATGTTAATACTAATATATAGTTATAATATATATATATACAGATACAATATATATATAGTTATAATATATATATATAGTTATAATATATATATAGTTATATTATATATATATTGTTATAATATATATATGGTTATAATATATATATAGTTATAATATATATATATGTAGTTGTAATATATATATAGTTATAATATATATATATATATAGTTATAATGTATAGTTATAATATATAGTTAAAATATATAGTTATAATATATAGTTATATATACTTATCATAAGTTATTAATACTTAATGGTTAGATGAAATAGATACTTCATGGTTATTAAATATTTAATACTCAGGAATAAATGTTATTAATACTTAATGGATCTTAATGGTTAGAACATTGAGGAAAAAGCCTCATTTAATTCCATATAATTCCTAGTACTTGGTTCACTATACTTACAAGCTATACTGGTTGGTGGTTTCAACCCCTCTGAAAAAATGAAAGTCTGTTGGGATGATTGTTCCCAACTGAATGGAAAAATCCAAACTGTTCCAAACCACCAACCAGTATATATATATATATCTATATATCATAATAGCTATAACTATACTTGTCCTGTAATGGGTTTATGAAACAACATCACTGGGGGGCCTCACCTTGTAGTAGATGAACCAACAAAAAAGGATAGATCCCACGCAATTATCCAACCATATGTTGAAATAATGAAAAGTCCTATTAAGATGGATTATTTCAGGGGCTCCCCCCATTTGAAACCCTATGGCTGTGGAGATGGAAAATGGGGGTTCCCTTAAAACGGCCATGTTGAACATGATGTCACTGGCAAACACCAAACTGAACACCTCATGATTCTCGATTGGCAGTGACCCAAGTCATGTATGGCCATAGAAAAATCTCTCCGAAGAATGGGTGTCGTCATAGGTACACCAGTTTCAAACGTTTTGAAACCATTCCGGAATTGAAATGACCATGTTGACTGGGTGACAGAGGTAAAATGATCTCTGTCCTTCTGGGACCGTCTCCATGGGAGAACGTCGCCAATCCCAAACATCATCGTCAAACAGTGATGATGATGTTTTGATTGTTTTGGTCCTCCCTCCAAGTTACAACGTCATCAACAACAGCAGCATTTCCCTTTGAAATCTTTATCCCCGGGCCCAAAAAAGCAGCGGTGCTTCACGTCCCCGGCACGTTCATCTTTTGAAGACCTTCAGTCCAACCCCGGATCACTTGACTCACCTGTGCGCCGACGGGAGATCCTAGTGGAAGTTTCCTGAAATAAGCCCCAGAATGGATGGTTTCTTGATTAATGATGGTTTATTGATGGTTTATTTCTTGGAAAATCCTCGTAAAAATGAATGATTTGGGTGAAAAAACTGCCCCCCATATTTTATGGACACCTTCCACCAGCCTTTTTGTTTCAAAGTTCCCATGTTCCGAAAGCCAAAAAACAGTAGTGAATCCTCGGAGAAAAAAGAGCAACGATTGGCCAGATATCCTGCAGATAAAAATGGTTGGCTGATGGCCAGAGATCCATGATTTTGTTGTTTACAGTCAATGTTTGGTGGAGGATGTTGCATTTTTTTTTGCTGGCAGCTAAAAATAGAAGCCATACCAGTAGCCCGATGTTAGTTGAAAAAAAATGTTGCGTTGATGTTTCCCGTACTGCAATATTACTTTTTCGCGGATGTACTTGCCGTCCAATTCCCATGATCCACCCCTTGTGGTGTCAAAACACTTGTTTCACAATCTGTCGCCAACTTATTCTCCTACTTTTGCGGATGTCGCCCATCAAAACGAATCTAAAAAAGTGGTTTGTCACATCAATGAGCATCACCATCCAATTTGATCAACACCATGTTGGATGATGATCTTGGTGGGTAAATACCTCCAACTTTTGGTGAAATCTTGACCCAGAAGCATCTTCCAAATCTCACGTTCTGTTCATTTAAGAGCTATTCACCCGTAAGGTCTCTTCAAAACCTATTATTGCCATTGCCATATTAATTGCTATATGACGGGGGAGAATAAAGATCCATTCACCAGCTATGGCACATCTTCAATTGCCATGAATATTGCCATAATGGGGGAACATATGGTTGACATTTCGGGTTCATGTTGCCACATGTTCCCAATTTCGACCTAACGTCATCCCCACCGTCTTCACCCCTGACGCCTGGAATTGTACTTTGCCGCGCGTGCGCGAGGAGTCAAAGACCCGGCCGTCCGGTTCAAAGCCTCCGAGCTTTTAGCCGGGGGGGGACCTCGGTCAACAAGTGTGCATGTAATTACAATATGTATATATATATATATTATATTACATTATATATTACAATATATGACATCAGTATATTTATATACAAATAATGTACGTATATATATAATATATATATATACATTATTGTATACGTATCTATTACAGCTCTTTTTGAACTTGTGTTTGCCCAAAAAATGGGTCAGTTGTGGCATGATGCTCGAATCACAGAGATGCCTTGTCCGAGCTGTGGAATGCTGGATGTTGATCCCCATTGGTGACACAGAATCCGCATGCGGAAGTCACATTGTTATCATTGTTCATGTCTGTTCATGATCTAAGCATGTTGGGAAATGCCACTTCTGAACTGGTTTTATGTCAGATCTGTTGTTAAGCATGTTGTTAATCGACATGATCTAACAAAACTGGAAATTTGCCAAACTTGTGAAGTCAGCGAAGCAGTTGGGAAACATTGGTGCAGCAAAAATTGGCGGAAGGAAACACATGTCGTCGCCAAATCTGCTGGGAATGTTCGCCGCCCATCCCCAAAAAGGGCCTCGGCATCATCTTGCCCAGTGTGCAGAGAACATAAAAAGGAAACCTTTTGGTGGTATACTTCCTGGTAATTTGAAATAGCTATGGAAAATGCAAAGGAAGACAACAATCAATTGAGCTCGTTCTATTAGTTTTATCCCGATATTTTCGCTGCAAAACATCTAAAACAGTTCCATGCTTGTTGTTTAGTTCCGTATATCTATTTGCTGCTTCAACTTTTCCCAACTCACCAGTTTGATTGCCTGATTTTTCCAAAAATCACATTTTTTCACCAAAACAAAATCACATGAAATGCCCAATTTTTCTAGCTTAACCTCCTATTTGGTTGATGGTTTTTCCCATATGTTTCCCATATGGTTCCCTATATTTTACCAATGTGTTCTCCCATGTTCTCCATATACCATCATTTTCCCATAGTTTTTTCCCATTTCCGCATGGATTTTGCCATAGTTTTTCCCAAGGTTTTCCGAGAAATTCCCAGTAGTGTTCCCCATATAAAAAACGAAGCCTGTGAAGGCCACTGAGACCTTGTCGAAGGCGCGGGGCTTGGCACATTTCCTTGGTACCAGCAAGAATTCATGGATATACCAAGAAAATGATAGTGATTATCAGATATCACCAGCAGATATTAAAATATGAACTATAGATATTAACTATTAATATCTGTGAATATCAGAAAATGATGGTTAGTATCTATTTTGGGTGGTAATGTCTGATATATAGTTAATTATGATCAACCAGATAATATCAGATATGACCAGCCCAAAAACATCTCTGATATCCCACTATAGTTTAGTCTTGATATTAAATGATCAACTATATGGTTATCAAAGTTCAATGGTTAAGAACTATAGAATTTTAAAATTCTGATTAATAGGTATTGTGATCTTATCATATATATATATATATATGACAATTCATGGTTAATAATGGGAGTATAAGCAACAATGTCGTATCATGTCGTATCATTGTAGATGTAACACTGCAGCTGTCGCGATAAGAATTTATGTATGAAGTAAGAATCACACCAGGCGTTCCCGCGTTCACAAATTGTATGGGTTCACCAGCGCTGTACACTTCTAACTTTTAACATGTTGCAGTAAAACCAGAAAAATATCTTCAGCATCAACATCAACCAACGATTTGTTGGGGCTAACGCTGATATAGCAATCCTAATATTTTCGGGACACCATTCAGACATCACCCAGGAACTGGGGGACATCGTAAGTTATGATACCAATTTCCGGGGTAGATTGTTGGGGATATCTTCGTGTTTGCAAAAAATCTTGCAATTTGGGTCCGGTCCCCATTTACGCTACTTACTCTCTGGCTATTTCACATAGCTATGGAAAATCATCATTTTTAATAGTTATAAATAATCTGTTTCTATGGTCCATTTTCAAGTTCGCAAACAAAAAAAAATAACCAAATCCAGGTACCGTACGTCAAGATGCGTCGCTTCGCAGTCAACAGCTTTCAGGATTTTCCACTTCAGGCCACTCTTTGTCACCTAACGGGCCATCGCTGGCAGTCCAAACTCATCAGGCTGGTTTCAACACATTTCAACATCAGACAGTCAGGCTGGGGGTAAACCCATAGGATAGCCCTTTTTTGCTGGATGGTTTCATGAAAAATCCGAACAGAAAATGGATGAGAATGGATGAGAACTGGGGGTACCCCTATGACTTAGGAAACCTCAGTCAATTGGAATTATCATGTATTTCCACGCCTACATTTTGCCGCTAAAATCTGCACAAAAAGAAACGATGATGTCACCAAATGTCAACTTTCCAAGCATCATCAATGAATATGACCACAATGTGAGGCCCCCCAGTTATAAGTTGGTTTATAAGCCCCAGAAACTATAGTTATAAGTACCATACATCATAGTTATTGGAGTTATAAACCAACTTAGATATCTTGGGGGCCTCACATTGCACCATTGTGTTTTAGGCTTGGAAACTCGCTGGTCAGTCGCCGCCATGAATCTGGCAAAAAAATGGCAAGCTTTTGTCCTGGCTGGATGACTTGAATTTCAATCCAGTCTAGCGCTAGTTCTTTGTTTATTACATAAATATTGTTATTTATAAGCCATAAATGAACATGGTTTATGGATGTTAATGGATGTTAATGGATGTTTATGGATGTTTATGGCACTGAATCAGCACAAAAACATGTTGGGAATCCTACCATGATCCATGGATAGGCACCTTATCATCCAACGGATCTGGGATGAAAAGTGGAGAGATATGGCATGCATAGTGCATTTGGGGGCCCACTTGTCAAACAAGATTCCTTATGTTTAACAAAACATCACCCTTTGGCAATGGGAGGCTTGGCTTTGGCTATCACAAAGTGAAGCCCCCAGTTCGAAGTTGGTGTATAAATTTGTATAAACCTCATTAACATTCATTAACATTCATTAGCTCTAGTTTTATCATGTTTTATCCCATAAAAATCCCCCATTAAAATCCATGGTAAATCCTATAGTTTCACCAAGTTCATTGTGGTCCTGGAAATGGAGGGTATACCTCCAACGATCCAACAAAAAAACACCATTTTTTCATAGGGAAAATGATGATGAACATTGATGAACGGCTAGCTACAATGGGCTACACTATTTTCAGATACCCGGCCTGATAATTTAACATGGCTATGGAAAATCACCATGTTTAATGGGTAAATCCACTATAAATGGCCATTTTCAATAGTTTTTTTTGGTATGTTTACCAGAGGGTATTCCTCAGGCAAACCCACGGTTCCATCCGAAACTTAAGTGGTCTGGGTAAATTATACTCTTTCACAAACCTGAATCTTGCGGCCATTTGGGATGATTTCCCTCAAATAAACCATGATTCCCAGGGCTCGGGAGAACAGTGAGGTCGTTATAATTTACCCAGATATATGTATCAATGCATATATATATATATACCCTCTGGTTATTTAACATAGCCATGGAAAATCCCAAGCATAAATGGAAAATCATCTATGAATCTATGGGATTTTCCATGGGTCATTATATAAATCATAATAATAAATGGATATTTCCATTAGGGTCATCGATACCATGGTATCTCTTGCAAACCGACGATACACAAAACCGCCGAAACCGTCACCTGCGCGTCTTCCGGCGGATTCTTCAGATCCTTGGGAGCCTGGGAGAAACTCGCGAAAGAAAAGGATCCAAAAGGACGGCTGAAACGCCTGACATATGGATTATAGATTTTAAAATCATTGGATTGGTTTGAGGGAAAATCTACAGGAAACCATGCTTTTTACCATCAAATATAGGGCTTTCCTGTAAATTTTCTCATCATCCAATTCTATGTTTAAAAAAACATGGTAATTACATAGATCAATATGGATATATAGATTACCATATAGTAATATGATAAATAACTATAAATATCTATATTAAATAGATAAATAACTATGTAAATCATATATGATAATATACAGCAAATGTATATATATATATATATATGATGTCAATTTAAATTGTGTAATAACTATAGATAAATAACCATACTGTAGACTGTAGAATATGGATTTCTCATTTACACTATGAAAATATATATGTATGTATATATATATATATACAATATACACAGTATATAAATAAATAACCAAGAAACAGGGAAGTAAAGTAAAAGTGCAGACACCTTTAAAAACGGCCGATGTTTCTGCCTCGACTCCTGCAATAAGCCATATGTGACCCCCCAAAAATCATCCATGTTCATAGGATTTCATCCATTTATAGATGGATTTTCCATTATCAATGGGAAATCCAGGATCCTAAAATTGGAGGTACTGTATCATATAAGGCCATATTTTGTGGCGATATTCCCTGAAATTTAGGCCTTACATAGGCCTTATATACGGTAGGTACCTCCATCCATTTTGGGGTACCCCCATGACTATGGAAACCCCAAGTTATGAAGGGCAGCTGAGTTGGTCGATCAGCTGATGCTCGGAATCCAAGGCTCCAAGGCCTCAAGATACTCCCAAAAAGCAAAGCCTATGGCTCAAAACATGAAATGAAAGGGATATGGATGTTGATATATATATATATATATTATAATAACATATATATATATATAATCATATGTGATTATTAATATATATATATATAATAACATATATATAACTATATATGATTCTTTATAATTATAAATATATATACATATATATAATATATATACATATAATTATAATATATATATATACACATATGTACATCATTATATTCTATGGATTAAATTCATAATGATTTGATGACCGATGTCGCAAAAAAGCACAGATGGAATAGTTGATCAGTCAATCCAGCCCATGATATTGTCAGTTCCTGAAATATCCTCAAATCCAACCCATCGCAATCTTCAACTGGCAATCATAACCCCCTACCCATAGGATCCATGTATGGTATATATGCTAACATAAAGGGGGTATATTGATGGGATCCATGTTACCATATAGAGCAGCACCATGGATCCTATGTGCTATGATGCTATATTCCTCTATACTTAATTATAACTTATAGCTGAACGGTGCAGCACCTCGTAGCACGATTCAATGCTCGGCTCGTTGTTAGCGTTGTTAGCGCTCCATGGATCCCGGCCATCATCTTACTGGTGCTTAGTAGGGAGTGAGGGAATGATCCATAATCACTAGTAATAATCATCCCAGCAACCCCCAGTCCGATCCATTCCCTGCTAAGCACCAGTAAGTCATTGAGCTACTTCAACAAGGTTTACCCAGTGATTGTACCCCACCACCCAGATCCACCCAGGACACCAACAGTTGCGTCGCCTGCTTCTTCTGCTCTTCTCCAAAAGGATCAAAGCCTTCCGCCCAAGCCGAAGAAGGCGGTCTAAGGAGCACCTGCGTCGCCGAAGAATTCGGTCGCATTTTTGGGCAAACAGAACATGACATGAGAAAACGCATAATTTTCACAGCTAAATCATGTCTTGATTTAATTATGCTTTGCCACATTTGAGGCATTTGTTTCAAAACACATATCATGAGTATCTCACCTGCAAAACCAGGAGATCTACAGTACCATGCTTCCACGGTTCATATTGAATCTGTCCACAAGGGAATACATCCAAGCATTTGTGCACATCATGAGACCCTTCTCGATTTCTACTTCGCGCACGACTAATGACTACACTGATGATTGAGTTGTCTAGTTTTATTGTTGATTACACTGATGGTTATGTAGTATTATATAGTTGTATTATGTTGTATTATTGATGTTAAACAACTCCATTGTAGTTTGTTTAGTTTTAAAAGCCATTGCCATGTTTTGAGTAGTCCTTGGCTCTGAAAAACATACGCGAAAGTTGAGGAGAATCATCTCCAAAGGGCCCATAATGCCATGGGATTCCAGAAATGAACAAAGATTTGGGGTAGTAATGCCATCCCCCCCCCATTATTCAAGACCCCATTAAAGACTTAAAAACCATATATACATGATTTTTCTTTAATCCTACATTTACATACATTTACAGCATTTCCATTAAAGTATGATCCGTTAAAAATGCTGTATACATGGATGCAAATGCACTATGAAAAACATGATGAAAAACCATGGTTTCTGGGAACATCAAACATCAAACATATCCCAACCCCTCATATTTGGGGGGCACTACGACACTACCATCCCCTACTTCGATTCCCAACCAAAAAACCATCCATGTCATCCATGTACATTTGCACCAAATGCCATGCAAAATCTCGTAACCAGAGGGGATCTCCGAATGAAATTCACCTACAACAAGCCTCAAACGGTAGAGTTTTTAGCAATTTACCACTTGCTTCTAACTAAGTCTAGGATTTTCATGGATTCGATCGTTTTGATTTTTTTTGTGTATAGATTTTGTATCTCATCATACCTGGTATTTCTTTCGAAGCCCCGAACCTCTGAAGACGCGCTGATCGCCAGCAAATCTCTTCGGAGGTAACTGGATCTCGATCCAACGCTGCCAGGCGGTGAAACGAAGCATCGAGTGGCACCTTGGTGTCACATGCAAACGGAACATGGCTTCGAAATGCTACATACATCTGTAAACAAGAAATAGATGTCCTTGTTGCAGTCATTAAAAGTCATGTCATGATATTGAAAAAACTCTAAAACGTGAAGTTTTTTGTTTTTAAGGCTTACTGAATATCGACTGTTAAAATGGATTAAAATGGTAAATCTATGGTGTCCTTCATATTTTGCCATGCATGGCCGAAATAGCCAACTTCGCGTCCGTCAGTGCATCGGAATCTTTGGTGACTTTGGTGGCCTCCATTCACGTCCAGTCCTGAAATATGTCCACATCGTCTTTGGGGCGCTTTGGTCATGACTTGGGGGTGGGTCAAAACCTATTAAACCCCTGTAGTTCACATCAAAATAGCTGGGATTTATGGATGTTCATCCCACTAAAAATGGATCTATATAGGTATTGATCCATACCCACTTGATAGCAGGTTTTTCATGGCTCGATGGCTCAAAACACTTTTTTCCCCCCAAAGAACCAGCCATCGAGCCTCGAAGCAGCCATTTGTGGGTCCAAGGTACATGGTGGCCACAGCGATCTATGACAGACATGAAATGGAGGGCTTCACAAACGAAATATGGACAGAATTTCCGAGATATCTATCTTGATCTATCTTGTATATGTTGGTATCAAGCAATAACACACTTAGAATTATGAAAAGTCCTCCATTTATGAATCCTTTATGAATGTGTTTTTGTTCCCAACAATACACCTCCATGGCTACCCTCTGGTAAACATACTGTACGTACAAAAAACTATGGAAAACCAGCATTTGTCATGGGTAGTAATCAACGAACTTTCTATGGCCATTTTCACTAGCAAACCGTTAGTTTACCAGAGGGCAATCAATTTCATAAGAACAATTTCACAAGCAATATCTTTTGATGATCATCTTGATCATCATATCTATGAAATTGCAATAATATGGGGATTACCATCATATATAATGGGGATTACCATCTCTGAGCCATCAATAATATGGGGATATCCATAATATTTCAGAAAACATGGCTCAGAGATGGTGTCATCCCCATGATTTTTATCCCACGAATCCCACATCCCCATGGATTTTCGCTTCGAGGCACTGTGGAGCAGCCTGGGACATGCTGATGACCATAGATTTTCAATGTCATGTGACTTGTTTATATATATATATATAGAGATAGATATTTAGGACATGATGTGACTTATGGACATTTCAAATCATTTCAAGATATCAATATCATAGATACATGATGATGCATGTGCTAGACTCTATACTCTAGACTCTAGACCTTGGCCTCAAAAGACGTCTTTCACTTTTTTAATCGTTGTTTTTATCTTTCTTTCGAAGCGCTTTTTTGGGTGCCGTGAATTTTAGATTCCGAACCTGCCCTGATAAAAGGTGCAGCTACCTGTGAGTTGGGATCGATGAAATTCACTGAAAAACCAATGGTTTGATCATGTGAACTCGGCATCAAAGAGACAACTGATGTTGGGATTGGCATTTTTGTTGGCTTCCCATTTTAAAGCCAGTTGATACCACCTATCAAACGTCCAAATAAAACTCTTCCTCGAGAAGAAATCAGCAAAAAATCAGCGGCTTCAAGTTTCCCCCTCCATTGGGTCCAACACAAAAACACATTGCGAGTTGGAACCTGGAATTTGGAAAGCAAAGCTCGCATTCTTCATGTTTTGTCAATGCTTTTGACTGGGCCCATGTCTGGAATGTGACCGATGGTGATCTCATTTCTGCAGAGCGAAAAGTTGTGGCAGTCCCGACTCTCTGTCTAAAGGTCGACCCAGGAAAACCTGTCATTCACCAATTCTTCGCCAGTTATTAAGTTAATTCACCTATATATATATATATATATAACATATGATATTTTTTTTTGTTATTATGTTCTACATCCTCATTCCATGATATACATATATTTATATATATAACTAGTTCACTTCAAGGCTTCAAGGGGTAAAAGGACATCCATTTTTGCACTATTACTGGGGGGAAGGTAGACCAAAAATAATTAATGTCAAGTTCGTACTAATCAACCCCTCCCAAAACATGTTTCCTGTGTGAGGGTTGATTAATCCCTAGTGGATTAAATCAATCCTAACTTTACATTAACTCACAAATGATCACCAAGAGTTATACATGGGTTTATAATGATATGTAATATAACACATATTATACTCATTATAACCCATTAGAAGTTATCGTTATTATATAATATAACCCTCGTGTTATAATTCTGGGTAAATTATAATATGTCACTAACCTGAATTAAGGCCATTTGGGGATGATTTCCCTTATTAACCATGATTCCAGTGAGGTCGCAGTGAGGTCGTTATAATTTACCCAGATAATTGTATTTATAACTCTTAAGGGCCATAACTGTAGGTATATTCCTTCTTGCTGCTTCACCCATCTTCACCCTACCATGAAAACCGAGTAACAGACCCACCAGCAGCACTCGTCGCAGGCGATGAGCATCCATGGAATCCACGTTGCGCGAGACCGGCACGCCGCGCTGCCGGGTCTAAGTATGGGTATATAGATTGTAACATTTCACTAAGCTGAAAGGTTGGGCTATTTTGAGATAGTTTCAACAAAATTCCAGTGATACCAGCAGTTTCCGACATCTTCGGTTTTTTTGGGGGATCGTGTGCGGTTGCTCAGATGCTTTCGGAGCTCTTGTCTTGTGCTTTGAGGAAGTTTTTGTCACTCAACTTGAAGTTGTAGAGGAATTGGTTGCTAGATGTTTTCCCCGTATCTTGTGAATGTATGGCCAGCATCTTTGACATGGGTTTGCCATCAAAACATCATCGCTCCCGGGGACCCTGATGACAGTTTCAGTTGACATGGTGTTTTCGGATCAAACAGGGTCGTCATCTAACATTCTGAAACCGGGGCCGGTAAGGTAACTTGATTTTATTATGGCACCGGTCTCCTGCTAGCAAAATCAACCAACATCAACCATGGTTTGTTGGACGTTTCTTCTCATGGGCTCCCAAATCCGAGCCGAAGCTCAAAAAGCGCTGCGCATCATGGTTTGTTGGACTATGCCCATGTGGAGCACCATGGTAAAACAACATACCCTCTGGTAAACTAACATAGCTATTGAAAATGGCCATTTATAGTGGATTTTCCCATTCAAAACGGTGATTTTCCTGAGTTTTTTGTATGTTTACCAGGCCGGGTTTTTTCCATCTGAAACCCCTGGGTTTCTTGGTTCAGTGTTTCACATTGGAAATCAGTGGATGAATCACTAAAATCCAGCGGGATCTCATCCCAATCATCCCGTACTGTGAAAATCCAAACATCGGTGTAGAAAGCCCGGTGAAAAACTGGATTCCCAAACATCCAATGTCTGATTCTGGTTGTAAATCCCATGAAAACCCATGAAAACATCCCAATCTTTCACACATTTTTTTTTAGTGGTTTGTCTTCAATACTCAGATAGGGCTTTGTCTGAAAATAGGGTACCTAAAAAAAATCCTTTAGTGAATCATCATTTTCCCTATGAAGACAGTCCCATATGGCTAGCTGGAAAATCCTCCATTGAGGTCAATCATGGCTTCAGGGATTTTTGAGCCACGGCGATGACAAAAAACCACCGCGAAAAACCAGACCTGGTTATAGGGAAAATCCCCATGATATCCCCATGAATTCCAAAGAAAAATCCAGAAAAAAATTACCATTCATTACTCAATGAGAATGAATTAATAATGGCTAATGATGATTAATAATGGTTAATGATGATTAACAATGGTTAATGATGATTAATAATGGTTAATGATGATTAATAATGGTTAATGATGATTTTTACCAATGTTCAAGCTCTTTTCCCATACTTCCCATCCCATCGTTCCCATCCTTCAACGGAACGCCGGTTTTGGGCCGCACCTTGGCTAAGACTTCCGGCACCTTCTCGCGCTCTTTGTCCGGCAGATCCAGGAAACCGTGCCTCTGGGGTTCACCAAATTTCCAAAAAAAACATGGCCTCCATTAACATTTCACCATGGAAATGGCCCATAGAAATAGATGGTTTACCGTTCTTAAAAATGGGTGGATCTTTCCATGGCTATGTTAGTCATAACCAGATGGTAATATTTGGGGATGGTAAATGACTAACATAGCTATTGAAAATGGCCCAGTCGAAATAGTGGATTGTCCCATTAAAAATGGTGATTTTCCATAGTTATGTTAGTTTACCAGAGGGTATGCTGGGTCGAAACCCTGGTACCTAGTGAACATCAAAATAGCTGGTAAATGGATGTTCATCCCACTAAAAATGGTATTAATAGGTATTGACCCATACCCATATTTCTCTCTAGTGGAATTTGCAGCACTATCTGATAGAATTCTTTATGGTAAGTTCACATCAAAAACAAAAACTGTACCCTCTGGTAAACTAACATAGCTATTGAAAATGGCCATAGAAATAGTTGATTTCGGTGTTAAAAATGGTGATTGTCCATAGTTATGTTAGTTTACCAGAGGGTATATGGGAAACCTGAAAAATCATGTTTAATGATCGTTTTTCAGAAACCATTGTTCTGGTTTCTCCATTGCAATCATCGAAATTTAACCATGAGAAACATGGATGTTAATGGAGGCATCAAAGGAAACCATCACTATGTTTATATTAACTTAATAACCATTAATTGATGTTTACGATTGACGATTAACTTAACATGGAATTTAAAATACCTCCATTTACAAACTGGGGAACCTGGAAAATGATGTTAAGATTGTGAAACAAAAAAATAAGGTAACTGATGGTCACTGTTCTAATTAACTATAAATGTAAATATAAACATCATGGCAAAACCATGCCTCTATATATGGAAAAACCATCGTGGTGTCCCCTCTTTTAACATGTTTATGCCGCCATTCACTATGGGAACCATAAATTTTGTAAATGATGTTCAATGTTTAAGCACGATCAATGGGAAATCCCCGAAGTCCATGGAGGTAAAAATTCTTGGGAAAGTTATCTAACTCGCCTGGTTTAACGGTACCATGTGTGATATTGTGTGATAACTTACCGGTTGGACTAATATTGGTCCTTAAAAAAGGGTGTCAACTCTGAAAAAGGACATCTATGGCGTTTTTTGGACAGCACCATGTGACACTTTTGAGGCCATAGTAAACCTGGTATTAAGTCTCACATGTCGAAGATGGGAAGGAAACCTACCTTGGTCGTGCCATCATAACAAAATACATCAAAATACCATAAATACATGCACTTGCTGGCGAATTTACTAAATGACCTCGCCAATTTGTCTCCCATGAAAGTTGGGTCGTCTCGGGTCTCCCATGGGTGTCACCAGATTCACCAGTGGCTGTGGGACATCGATTCGCCGATGCCGAGGATCAATGATTCCCAGTTCCGAATCAGACAATTTCTGGTGATCAAACTTGCCAGTTTTTGACCATCAAACTTGCCTGGATTTGTTCACGCGTTTGATCATAATTTTATATCAATGTTCTTCGCTGATTTTGCCAGATATAAACTATATATAAACTATATAAACCCTCCATAAAAATATGGGATGTCCATGGATGTCCCCAGGATGTGGTCCAGATCTTCCCATGTTTTTTTCCTTCACAAATTCTAAGGTCCGGGACTCGACCAGGTCGTTAAGCTCCATGGTGATTTATGGTTGGTCTCATTGATCCATATGCTTAAAACTTAAGTCTTTAATTTATGGTTAATCTATTGTTAATAGATTTGTTAATATATGTTTAATAGATTTGTTAATCTATGGTTAATAGAATTGTTAATCTATGTTTGATATACATATATATATATACATATGTCTAATTTGTGGGTAATATAATTGTTGATATATTGTTAATACATGCTTAATTTGTGGGAATATATAATGGTTAATACATTGTTAATATACTCTTAATCTACGGTTTATACAATGGTTAACCTATGGTTAATATATTCTTAATCTACGGTTAATGGAATTGTTAATATATGGTTAATACATGCTTAATTTGTGGTCAATATAATGGTTAATATATGGTTCATATATGCTTTATAGAACGGTTCATATATTGTGGTTGATATATGCTTAATCTATGATTAATATATGGTTAGATAACGATCCATACATGACTCATACTTAGAGCCTCCAAATCCCCCAAAAAAGCTTCAACGTCGCAAAGTTGTGCGGTAAAACACAATGCTTATGGATACTTGGAGAGCCTAGGTACAAATCCCTAGCTAGCTGGACTGACGGTCAGTGGATACTGAGCCAGTGGAGGATTCCTACACCGGCCTCATTGGAGGTCTCCATTCCTTGGCCCCGTGGATTCTTCGGAAAATCGCCCCGCAAAAAAAACAACTGAAACTTGCCAGAAACTACTGAAACGACTGAGCTAAGTGGGAAGCAAATAGTTTTCCCAGCCTTTCGAAGGTTGCTCCACCTTCGATAATCTCTGCCAGTTTGCTGGTGTCCTGCCCAGTTTTTTTCGAAAGGGCGTGATGCTCCCAGAAACGTATCAAGCTTCATCACCATGCAAATGTGTTCGTGACGAAAAGCATATGAACACATACACCTGACAGGGAAAAACACAAATCATGCTCGAATTGTGGTACATTGATCCTTCAAAAGAAACAAGGCGTTGAACCACGGAGAAACAGTAAAATTCTCGGTTTAAGGCTGTATTATAGCTTCGGAAATCATGTTCTACAGATTCCAAGTAATTACTTCCATTGAAGTGCATTTCATAAGCGGTTTTCTTTGCAAAATGCAGCTAGTTTTGCTTGGGACGACCACAACGCCGTTTACCATAGTCTACTCTGTTTCCGGAATTTGGCTCAGAAGATACTTGTCTTAAAGGGTCATCCTCAGGGGCTCTAAGCACGTGCCCAAGTAATTTGGTCTTGCGGTGAAGATAATGTTGGCTGAAAAGACTGGCTTTTGTGCGGTCTTCCCGGTGCGTGGACACAATGTCTTTTTTTTTTTGAGCACTGCCTGGTTTGTATTTCGTCTATCTATGAACGTCGGCGCTAGCCCCAGATTTTTTCTCAGGCAACGCAACTGGAAGGCGTCGATTTTTTTCATCATGGCTTGTGTGAGATGAGCAGTCTCCAAACCATATAGATAATTTTGGATTTAATAACAGCATCAAAGATCAGCAATAGCCATTTCAAATTTGCATTCGTTGCTTCCAATATGGCATTAATCTGAACCAAGTCTTTCTTACTTCTTGCATTTTTTTCAAAATTGCGTGCCAGATGTTGGCTTCTCTGTTGATTTCATTTCCTAAGTAAGTGGTTTCAAATCTTTTTGGGAGCGGTTCTTGATTGTCGAAATGGACCGAGCCATCATTATTCATTTGGATTGCGACACACTTGTTTTGGTTTAAACATAAACCATATTTACTGAAAATCACTTCCGTCAGATGTAATAATTCATTAAGGGCCCTGTTGTCGGTGGAAACAAAATACCTTGTAGTGATTGCAACCCGTTTGAGACTTCACATACCCCATAACCCACCCATGATCATCCATT